AGCCGCCCATTACGCCGTCGTGCGCGATTAGTGCGGCCGCCCTTAGCTACGCGATCGTCGCTTTACGTCCGCAAACTTCTGTGCTCTTGCTTCCGGAGCCGCGATCTTGCAATTTTCGAGAGCAGTTAACAGCCTTGAGCTGCTTTGTCCTCGCTCACTAGTAAGCCTGATGTTTTTCCCCTTGCGATTTACTTCGCACATCCATCCTCGCTCACACTTCTTGCACGCACTTGCTAACCGCTACGCCCTTCTCATCCCTTCACCCGCTTCAGAAAACCGCCGACCTGATCGATGCGTAGCTTTTTTGTAGCGAAACCTGCAAGGGCATTTGATTTGTCCGAGGTCGTAATTCATCTACAGACTTCACTTCTTCACCGTTTTCTGTTGCTTCGTCTCAATATCATGTGCCCCAACGTAGCCGGACAGGTAACTAGTGCTCGATCAGTTATAGTGCCTCAACGTATTATGATATGGGATGCCGCCTGACGAGAACGGAGTCGACCGAGTTGTGCGAGCAGGCCACGAAGGACGACGAGAAACAAAGAAACGTTTCGAATGGACAGCCGAAAGTGGCCAGAAAGGACACACCGGTGGTAGGAAACGAACCGCTCAGGTGGGTGCAGTCTTGACGTTCTTGATAAATCGTCTTACCGTATGCTTTGGGTGAACTCGCATAACATCTACACTTTCTTCTCAAGTTCTTTTTCTGCAAAAAATCTCTGCACGTCACTGTAGGTGCTTCTCACATCGTCGAAGAAGGAAGTGTCTGCATAGCTTCTAGACGTTATTTGACTTGAGTTGAATGTATTGCGATGTTAATCAATTTGAGCGTAGATATTATATATTGCATACGATGTCTCAGACGGAATATAACGACAGTAAAAAACATCTGTGAAGATGCATTAGCGATGGCTAGCATCATGCTGTAGACGCTTTCGGATAGGAATAGGTTGTTTTGATGAAGAGACAGGGAATGTTTGGTGGTCTAGTTTTTATATCTGCGGGAGGGTAGAAAATAAATGTTATACCGTAATGCGGTAGCTTTAGGCTATTAGGCTTCCCATTTGAATCTGTTGCACGATAGTTCTTTCTTGTACTTTTTGGCTTTACCATCACCCATCAAGAACCCAAGACTTTACGTGAACAATTCTTCTCAACTAGTCTCAGCCGTGCATGTAACACCGAATGAATTTGTTTTGCTTTCAGAAACGGCTATTCACCGAACAGCAGTTTGACGGCGAAACCGATTGGGTTAGCGATTTTTTTATACCTTTTTCGGATAAATTTCCATCGAAAATCGCACGAGCAGTTGTGATTGTCGAGTGGCTCATTTGCATGTGATGAGAACGTCTTCGGCATTAGTCACACGGCTCGCATACGCATCGATTTCAACTCGATGAATTTCAGAGAAGTCGAGAGCGCGAGTCAAGCGGATTTCTTCCGAATGTTGGATGCTAAAATAGCGCATGTAAGTGTTTGTTGGCTTTACGTCGATGAGCTGGTCGTGCCAGACGCGCACAGCGGCTGAAGCGATTTTCCGCGGAAATTTCGAGTGCACTTTTGAGCCTCGCTTGGCTATCGCAGCGCATCGGCTCTGATGTCACTTACGCGCGCCAGGTGGTTTGCACGATAAACGACTGCCCAAAAAAATCGCTGCAGTCGAGAACGACCCGATCCTTCCGTTTTTACAGTTGTCGTCTATAGCTTTGATACGAAAATCGCTAGGGGGAGAGAGTAGTAGCTCGAGAAATTTCTATCCTCTTTACTGCCAAATCTCATTTCTAGGGTGCCGATCTTGACTCGGAAAATGAAGCATAGCGGGTCCATCCATGTACATCCTGACAGCGCCGCCAAAATTTCTATGAATAAAGAACGTTCCAAATATACAGCATATCATAGTTCAATATTTGTGTGTATTCACTCATTCTATCAACGCTCCACTTGCCGTACTCTAATGTTCGTGTAAAGAAAAACGTTGTCCAGAGACATATTCATGCTTCGGTTTTGATTTATTCCATCATATGAGAACATGTTCTCTCTCTTATTCTCGTCTGGCGACAATCGTATTTTCTTCTTTTTCCAACGGGTGTGTATGCCTCTTTGATGCGTATTATTTTCTTTTGGTTAGGTCGTCGTTAGAACAACATTCGCATCGTCGACGGTCGAATAAAAGTGCTTCTGATCTTGCGTTGCATAAGTTTACAGTTGGCTGGATATAAGGAATCCAGTCCTTAAAATCTAGATACCATTTTTATCTTATTGCAGTGCCTGCATCGTGCACTAAAAATTTTCTAATATGGAGTTAATGAGTGACTTGCGGACAGTCAATG